AAGCAACATAGCCAAAAACCAAAAGCCAAAAACAAGGTTATAAGATTCATTTAACTGTATGCATCAAGCTGTTCTAGACTTGGTTTTAGTTAGAGACTTGTAGTAATTAGCTAAATAAAAGAAAAGCATTTTGATTGAAAGCAGTCACTGTTTATTAACTGATCGGATTACAAAATAGTCAGGGTAGATGGCTTAGTTCATTCTTCTAATGAGCCTGTTGGTCTGGTCTTCCCTATTGATTCTGCTGTCACCACTTTTGTAATAACCTCATTTACTGACTTCAGGTCTGAGGACCCCCATGTAACATATGGTTCTACAATCCTCTGCATGTTAACTGAAGCTATATGGACCTTAACAAAGTTTCCACTGAGGATCTAGCAAAGGTGAAGAAGCTTCAACAGCTTTTGGACATCTGGGCTGACAGCCTTGATCTCTGTGATCCTGATGAATGTCAGTTTGGGTTCTGCAGGTGAGTAGAAGTTGCCAGCTTCTGTTGCCGTCCTAGCTAGTAAATCTCGGTTCTGCACATCTGCCTGTATTCCTTGAGATAAAGCCTAGCTCTTCATTGATGAGCTTCCTCTTTGCCTTTTGAAGCATCTTTGGGCAAACTGCTTTCTCAGGAAACTGATCTACAGCTCTGGGAAATTCCTTCACTGTTACTTAAGGGCTTCTGGTGTAGCAGGAGCCTTCTTTTTCTTCTCTGTGATATTCTCTATGGAAAAGAAGTAAGCATTTTGTTAAGACTATTTGAATAAAGGAATTGAGAGACTTCTGTATCTATATGCCCATCTGAGATTTGGAGGCTTAGAACTAACTTCACCTTATTCTTCTGAACTGGCCTTTACTGTGTCACATGCCCTTCTCCTCTGCAGTCCATCCCTGGGCTGGTGGGGGGATTGTAGAGCAGCAGGACCTGGTCCATGGGAAAGCGACCAGGCCCAGTGGGATTCTAGATGCAGAAGGTTTGTAGACTTCGTGGCATGGTCTCTAGTCTTTAGACGATATTGATTCGAATTTTCTTGGAATTAAACAAGAGATAAATACCACGAATGTATCCTGTATGTGTTAACATCCCAAATAAACCAAATGTGTGTCTTGAATTTCTAGTGTCATTTATATTAAAAACT